TCGGCAGGCGGACTCTCAACCACTGCGCCACCAGGGAAGCCCCCTTCATTGGTTTTACGCATTATAAATATCTTCTGCATTCTGTCATCTGTCTAAAAGTTTGCTCATGGTTTCCCTTTGTTGAATAGAAAATTTAAAGTTTGTTTTAATTGATTCATCATGTTTTTGCCTCTTGCTTTTTACAATTAACATTTGAAGACATGCTTCCCTCTCTTGTGTCATATTCCCCTACATTTCCTTCTGTCAGTTTTTTCTTCAACGTTTAGGCCTTCACTCCATTCAGAGTCCACCTCTGTGTGTGGTGTCAGGCAGGAATCCAGGTCTCTTCCATGTGGTGAGCCAGTTTCCAGCACCGTCTACACACAGACGTATCCTGTCCTCGTTGATCTGGGCCTTCTCCATATTCAGCTCCCGTCTATCCTGACCTCCCTTCTGTTCCACTGGTCAGTTCATGTACCAATACTACGCTGCTTTTATCACCGTGTGTTTCATCAGGGTCCAACCAGAGGAGCAGAACCGGTAGGGGTTCTATATGGAGAGATTTATTGCCTACTGTTGCTGGTGTAGGAAGATACTGTGATGATGGTAGTTTCATTTTGGCCGTCTTGCTAACGCTTATTCTCAGTCTTCAAGGGCATGTAGCTAACGTTCTCCATTAAGTACGGTGCTTGCTGTGCTCTTTTGGTATGTAACTTATTATAGCTTTTTTTTTTTTAAAGATTTATTTATCTTATTTTTATTTTTGGCTTGTTGGGTCTTAGTTGTGGCATGCAGGATCTTTCGTTGTGGCGTGCAGGCTCTTTGTTGCTGTGCGTGGGTTTCTCTCTAGTTGTGGTGCACGGGTTTTCTCTTCTCTAGTTGTGGTGCGCAGGCTCCAGGGCGCGTGGGCTCTGTAGTTTGTGGCACGCGGGCTCTAGTTGAGGCGCACGAGCTCAGTAGTTGTGACGCGCGGGCTTAGTTGCCTCGCGGCATCTGGGATCCTAGTTCCCTGACCAGGGATTGAACCCACGTCCCCTGCATTGTAAGGCAGATTCTTTACCACTGGACCACCAGGGAAGTCCCAACTCTTTATTGCTTTTAGAAAGTTTCCTTCCACTCTTATTTTCCTAGGAGCTTTTTTAGAATCATAACTGTTAAGTGCTTTGTCTTTATTAAGACAATCATATGATTTTCTCCTTTACTTTATTGTAATGAATTACATTATATTAACACATCAACACCCTTTCCCAAGTCAAACCGTCCTTGCATTCCTGTGAGAAGTCCTATTTGATCATACTATAACTTTTAAATATACAGTTGGTTTTGGTTAGCTAAAATTTTATTTAGAACATTCATATCTATGCTTGAAGTGAAACAGGTCTATGATTTTCTTCTTTTTTTTCTTCATATGTTCCTTATTATGTTTTGGAATC